GAGGCTTCGTCAGTCTGAGGCCTAGCCATCTGGTATTACCCAGAGTCAGGGTGGCTTCTGGGTAATACCAGATGGCTAGGCCTCAGACTGACGAAGCCTCTTGGATGAGGGGCGAAACGTTTCTTTTTAACAAAAAACGAAGTCCAGATGACATGATTCAACCTTTTTTTGTTCACGTAAGGAAATGTTCCAACATGGTGCCTTTCTTGGAACAGCACACAATATTTTTGGAGGTTGAAACCTACAGGATCATGTCTTGAAGCTAGTTATTTTCCTGATGACTACAGTCTTGGTGTGTCAAAGGGCTGAGAATGCATGGCCATGGCTTCCTTGTTTTGTATAAAATCTTAATGAAACTGAGTATACAATGCTGTTATCGATAGTATCGCTCAGCCCCTGTGAATAGCAAGCAGCCATCAACAATCAGTCATTAGGCTGATGGTCCTCCTTGATCATGTGAACATCTATTTCTGGATGTCACCAGCAAACTGGTTGATCCACTATGACGTGTCAAACTAAAGGCCCGCGGGCCAGATGTGGCCCGCCATGTCATTTTAGGTCCACGAGAGCTCAAAAGGTCTGATTATCATATAATAAATAAGTCAAAAGGGTGCACTGACAAACTACATTTCCCATAATGCATGCCGATTATGTTAACCGTAAAGTAACAGCATCTCACCACTAAACTGCAGTTTTTCCACATCAATATCATTTTCTGAACAAGTGGAACTGCGAAATACAAACAATGATCCCAAAATGTCCAAGAAGATAAAAATGAATGCAGATGGAAGCTGAAGAAAGATGGGGAGATGAAGATATGTTTGTGCTTCAAGGAGAGAAACTTTTGTGTTATGAGGCAGTGGTGGTTGTCAAAGAGAACAATCTACGTTGGTATTTCGACACCAAACATGGAGCTAGGTATGCCAAAGTGAGCCTTCAACCCTGATGTTGTTATTTTGAGTTTATTATACTTATTAAATGCCATTTATTATATTATGTTAAATTTGCAGCCATGTATTTGGGATTGCAGGTTTATGTGTCTGTGCAGGCAAATGTTCTCTATAATAACACCATCTCTCATTAGTTGATGTATGACCCTTGGCTGTGTGCAGCCTTTGGTTCCTTGTAAAATGCTGCACCTGTCACATGTTCTTACAGCTCACCATTGTTGGTTGGTCCGTTCTGCCCCTCTTAACTATGACAAAAAGTTTTCAACAAAGTTAATGTCACAACTTGTTATTTTTCCTTATTCACTTGGAAAGTTTGATCATTGATTTATGGAGTAATGTGGGTTTCATAACCTGACAAATAAAATGTTTTATGTTGTAACAACAGATATATTTTTCTACATTTATGCAAATATTCATATGTAATATTTGTAAATTGAATAAGTTACAAATTCAAAGTTTTTTAGCATTGTAGGGACACATCGAGGTTTTTCTATCATCAACTTTTATTCTTTTGATACTTTGAAAGTAAGACTGACTCTCATTCCCAAACCTGGACAGTAAGGAACCATGTTACAAAAATGAATAATAAAAATCTGTTATTGTAATTAATTGCACACCTGTTATTATAATTTCAGCAAAGCTGAAAGGCCCTTTGTATGAGAACCTTTCCATCTGACCTTTGAAATATAACATCTGAAGCGTTATGTGTATCTCTTCCTAAAAGGGAGGATCCGTCCTGCAGTCTTAGAGTGTGGGAAAGAACCCTGTTGTTCCTCAAGGACTCTTTTGCCATCCCATGGTAGAAATTATTTTTCTGAACAATTTAAATTTCTGAGTTCTTCTGAACACAATTGAATGTTTTGCTGTAAAACTGTTATGAAATAACTTGTTTACTTCTTTCCTCAACTCAGTACTCGGTTTAGTTATGCATAACAGAAAGTAGATGTAAAAACTGGTAATCAGAGGTTTCAACTGTTGTTTGTACAAGTTCTAATGAAAATGTTTATGGATGAGTAAAAACAGTGCATAACAGATTATAAAGGAAGGAGTGAACAATGACCCAAAGACCCATCTCTGCCTGATGCCCTCAACAAGTTCTATGCACGCTTTGAAGACCCGAACAGACCACCCAGCACCAGACTCACCTCACCACCGGATGAAGAGCATCTCAGCGTGACCTCAGCAGAAGTAAGGAGTACCTTCAGGAGGATTAATCCGCACAAAGCAACTGGCCCAGACAACATCCCTGGAAAAGTGTTGAAGGAATGTGCTGATCAGCTCTGTGAGGTGCTGGCAGACATCTTTAACACCTCACTTACCCTAGAGACAGTTCCCACCTGCCTGAAGACTGCCACCATCATACCAGTCCCAAAAAGCTCTACCGTGACTGGTCTGAATGACTATCGGCCAGTGGCCCTCACCCCGATAGTCGCTAAATGCTTTGAAAAACTGGTCATGACTCACATCAAAACAACCCTGAACATCAACGAGGACCCTCATCAGTATGCATACCGTGAGAACCGATCAACAGAGGACGCCATCTCCTCTGTGGTCCACACTGCGCTCAACCACCTGGAGCAGAAAAACTCTTACGTCCGTATGCTCTTTGTGGACTTCACATCTGCCTTCAACACCATGATCCCCCAAACCCTGATGGACAAACTATCCACACTAGGACTAAGCCCCTCCATCTGCAACTGGGTACTAGACTT